GGGGCTGTGGGGAAGCCTTGTGGTCCGCTCATCGTGATTATACATGGCAACAGATGGGACTCGCAGCCTTTGAGGTAGGTCAGCACGATTATCTCATGAGGAGAGTGAAGCCCATTTCTGGTGTGTCTTGCCGTGATATTGCTGAAATATTGCTAAAAGCGGCGTAAAACTAAACTCACTCACTCATGAGGACCGTTATGCTCAAGCCTGTGTCGCAGAGAGGAATCGCTTCGGGGAGGTTACGTGAACTGGGGTGGGATAAGTGCTCATCAGGGAACCCCTTTTAAAACAGCTGCTGTTTAGGGCAATTTGATAGGTGTGGGCTACAGAGATAAGATTTTTGGACCAGTGGCAATACAGTTTCTTCAACGTCATGATTCAAGATTGACAATGACCATGATAACGTCCGTCCTCACACGCCTAGAGTTGCTTTGGCTTTTCTTCAGTGGCACAAAGTACTGCCTTGGCCTGCATATTCACCGGATATTTCCCTTATTGAGCACGTGTGGGATGAAATGGAGAGACGTCTACTCTGTATACCAAATCCGCCACATAAAGTTTGTGAGTTGAAGAGAACATGACATGCCATTCCACAAGCCTCCAGTGACCATCTGATAGACTATATGCGTGGGCGATGCTCTGCCGGTCTCACTGTTCACGGTGGGCGTACCCGTTATTGGGTTTGTGACCACTGGACATTAATTTCGAAAGTATTTTAATAATCTCCAGTCAACCAGACAATCTTGACCCATCCGAGACAACGTATCAGACCATAAGGCAGCAAACATACAGCAGATCAAATACTCGAGAAAACAAGACATTAAAAGATGTCAAAAATGACATTACATTACAGACCACCACCATGTAGCTGGAATATTGCTGTGATTGGCGTGAAACACCAAGCAAACAAACCCGAAACAATTGATCATTGAATTCTTCCCTCTGAAACCACACAAACCAAACAAACCAATATTACCTGAATACCAACAATCTGATGGGTACGTGTTGGACAAAGTAGGTGGACACAGCCGAATCCCTTGCCTGATAGCTAAACCTTTGAAATGGCTACTGCCAGTACAACGTTAATTGGTATCGGAATAAGGCATAACATTTGTGTTCCGAAAACCCTTCAGCATAACGATAGCACATAATTCAACACTCTCATGTGTATTGTGAAAATATGAAACACTTTTCATCAGTCAGTTATCATACAAGTAATGCAATATGTTATGTAATTTAGGTGTGTATTAAGATTCTCGCAGCAAGGCAAAATGATATGGCGAGTGACCAAGTAACATAGTGACCATCAACCAGTTTGAACATCTCTCGTGTCAATTCTGTTGCATGGTTCTGGGATATAGTGAATTTAAATGCATTGGAAATATATATATTGGCACTGAAACGTTCTCATATTGGTTGAAACACATCTCAATGCGTCCTCAAAAGCCATTTAAGATGTTATTGTATTTGTTTGAAAATGCAAGTGATGTTCAATATAAACATATGGGCTATGTTGATTAAAACTATACTGTTTCAACTGGGTCTTGGATATGCATGGATTGGGCAGGGAGTTGAGGATGTTACAGCCTTTTTATCCCTTGTGCAACAAAGATGTAAAGATTGCTTTCATCCAGATTGGACTAGAAATATTCAAACTGAAAAATGTTCTTATTCGCATTCTTTGATGAAACAACATCTTGTGAGTGAGTGAGTGAGTGAGTTTTAGTTTTAGCAATATTCCAGTGATATCACGTTGGGGGACACCTGAAATGGGCTTCACACATTTTACCCATGTGGGGAATCGAACCCGGATCGAACGCTGTAACTACTAGGTTACCCCACCGCCCCATCATCTTATGTGTGAAAAGTATTTAACTACTTTAAATGTGAGGAAATTAAGAGCAGTTTCGACGTGGTTATTATAATTTAACGTATTATAAAAACATGTCATGCCACTGAGAACCAATACTGCAGAAAGTGGAACACTGATAATATTGAAGATGAATGCCACGTTATTCTCATATGTCCACAGTATGAAGACCAAGGAGTCATTATATTCAATCTAAGTATACATCACAATTTACGCATTCTGTATACCAATGTCAACAGAAAATGTCCAGCTTCTACACGTTAATACACCATGCACTGTCAACACGTAAACGTACATGTACCAATAACCCATTATAACCGTTTTCAGTACTAGTTTCTACAGTTCAGTTATGAAGAATATCTCACGAGAATATTTCCACAATCAGTAAGTAATCCAAATATGTTTATTCAAATATGTTTTCACTTTCATAAGATGTGTATTAAAAGTATCTCAACACATGAGATGGATATCGTACGATTTAAGAGGAAAGAGGATATTTTCGTTTAGGTACATGACTGAGGGCACGGGTGGCTCAAATGTCTAATAGGTTTATGTGTTGCAATTCGCCGTGTAGGGTTGCTTCCATTTGACAAGACAGAAGTCTGTTTTCCGTTGGCTACGAATGAGTGAGTGTGTGAGTGAGTTTAGTTTTACGCTGCATTCAGCAATATTCCAGCTATATGGCGGCGGTCTGTAAATATTCGATCCCGTGGTATCCCTGACAACCCGATCCCGTTAGTCGCCTCTTACAACAAGCATGGGTTACTGAAGATCAATTCTAGTCCGGATCTTCACGGGTCCGCTGGTTACGAACCTTACGTTCATCCTGTTTTCAGGTTTGGCAGCACCAGTCATTTGCTGATGGGCTTCATGCTGGAATATTGCTAAAAGCGGCGGTAAACCTCACTCACTTACTCACCCAAAAACACACACAAACAAAACTGATTATGCGATAACAGCCGCATAATATACTCTCCCAAAAAAGAAACGCATCATGAAAATAGCAATTTCATGTAGCAATGAATTAAAACGTGATTCATTTTACAAAAGGTTTTGCTCTGTTTATCAGTCCTATGGTGTTTATGTTTTGAAACATCACAACAAAACGCACCATCCGTAAAATACCCGTATTAAACAGCATGATTTTCAATTTTGGCGTGTAGTGTCACAGAATACACAATTCACATGCAATGCACGTGAAACTTGGGGATCAGATGGTCTCAATGATGGGTATAAAAGGTTGATCGCTGTCTGTCGATTATTCACTGTATTTGGAATATTGTTGACGAACGCAGAATGCCACGTCTAAGTGAAGCCAACCGTCATATCGCCATTGGTTTGCTTGAAGCTGGCCAGTCTCAACCGACGCCCGACGCATGAATGTTCACCAAAGCACCATTTCACGGCTCTGGGAGAGATATCGCCGGCAGAATTCGGTAACAGATGCCCCTCGTAGTGAGCGACCTCGAGCGACCACTGCGGCGCAGGATCACTACATCCGGGTACATCACCATGCGTCATCAAACAGCTACGGCGACCAGTACCGCTCGACAAATACCCGGATTGAGGAGGCTTTCTGCACAGATCGTCAGGAACAGGTTGAGAGAGGCTGGTTTACGTGCCAGAAGACCTTATTTTGGCCCTGTGCTTCGACAACAACATCCTCGACATCGAGTTCAATGGTGCACCAACGTTCAGGCCTGGAACCTACCGAATTGGCGTAGAATCTGGTTCAGTGATGAATCACGATTTCTATTGGAACGACGCGATGGCAGAATGCGGGTGTACAGACGTCGACGTGAACGTTTCGCCGACACTTGCGTTCCGCAGGTGGACAGATTCGGCCGGGACAGTGTTATGATGTGGGGAGCGATCACCTGCCGTAGGAGAAGTGATTTGGTGATGATCCAGGGCAACCTGACAGCTCAACGGTACTGTGACGAAATCCTACGCCCACACCTCCTTCCAATCATTGATCGTCAGAGGGAGTTGTTTCAACAGGACAATGCCAGGCCCCACACAGCACGTCACACTAGACACTTCCTCCAGAACCACAACATCAATGTGCTCCCCTGGCCCTCAAGATCACCGGACTTAAACCAGATCGAACATCTGTGGGATGCCCTGGACAGACGGGTGCGACGCCGTAACCCTCAGCCCCAGACACTTCAGCAACTCGCACAGGCACTACAGGCAGAGTGGGCTGCGATTGGGCAACACGAGATTCTGAGATTTATTCGTTCGATGCCGAGGCGATGCCGTGCAGTTCTGGATGCCCACGGTGGTCACACGAGGTATTGACTTCAGCGCCACCACACGTCTCCATGTGACACTCAAACTGACTTTCCTCGAGTTGGTGCCAAAGACGGATAAGTCTGCATTCCCAGTGTGCAATTTCGCTATATTTCATTGACTCATAACGCCTACAAGATGTTTCAAAATAAACATAGAAATACAGTTGAAATTCCTATATGCGTTTCTTTTTGGAGAGTATATATAGCAGTATATATATTTACGAAAAAGAAAACACACTTACATTTTAGATAGTGATATTCGGCACTCATCAACTCTTCCATTGTTTTATTACTTTACCGAAGAACCATACTTATTTTCCTATCGTGAGAAGCAACAGTCTGCCACATGCATATTTTTGGAATAATCTTATCTGCAACTAGGGAGTGTCCCGACAAATAGTTAAATTGTCTTGAGAACATCCCAGAAATATTCCATTATTACGTAGAAGCAGAGAAGCGTAAGGATACATCAAAGGTAAAAAGTGCCCAAACTGAAACACACCAAGGGTACATATTCACATATTTGGCTGTTGAGTTATATCACAGAGATACATATGGCGTATACATTTTAATTAAAATATTTTTTTTCCTTTCGAGTTCCTAGTTTTACATCATCGACGTCTCTGTCACGTGGTGTCAGACAGTTAGATAAGGTATAAAACCATTGTCACTGCGCTTGAATATTCATCTAGTACAAGTAAGCCATGATGTTTGAAGCAGTTTTCCGTTTGTGTATATTCCTACCTTACATCTCCGGACTGATTCTGCCGTTAACGAAATCCGACGGTAGTGCCGACCTTACCAGTATCTTGAGTCACATCACTCTCCTGGAACAGACTGTGGACACTCTTCACAAGGTCACAGATAGGTTGCAGATAGATCTGCGGACTACGAACGAAAGACTTCAGCTCACACAGACGGATCTTCAAACTACAAAGAAAGACCTTCAGTCCGCCCTGACAGACCTCATGACAAAGGGTTTACAACTGAAACATCTGAACTCAGGTCAGTGTGACAACCAAGTCTTTAAAACTAGTATGGAAAACCTAACGTAACACAGTTTTGATAAGCCTAGTCACGAGACTGCTGTATCATTATAATTAGTTGATTAATTACCTTGGAAAGGCGACTTGGCATTTTGACTGGTTGCACCTACATGTCTGGGTGACTTGGAATCTGGACTGGTCCTACACCAATGTCTGGGTGACTTGGCATCTGGACTGGTCCTACACCAATGTCTGGGTGACTTGGCATCTGGACTGGTCCTACACCAATGTCTGGGTGACTTGGCATTTGGACTGGTCCTACACCAATGTCTGGGTGACTTGGCATCTGGACTGGTCCTACACCAATGTCTGGGTGACTTGGCATCTGGACTGGTCCTACACCAATGTCTGGGTGACTTGGCATTTTGACTGGTCCTACACCAATGTCTGGGTGACTTGGCATCTGGACTGGTCCTACACCAATGTCTGGGTGACTTGGCATCTGGACTGGTCCTACACCAATGTCTGGGTGACTTGGCATCTGGACAGGTCCTACACCAATGTCTGGGTAACTTGGCATCTGGACTGGTCCTACACCAATGTCTGGGTGACTTGGCATCTGGACTGGTCCTACACCAATGTCTGGGTGACTTGGCATCTGGACTGGTGTCTGGGTGACTTGGCATCTGGACTGGTCCTACACCAGTGTCTGGGTGACTTGGCATCTGGACTGGTCCTACACCAATGTCTGGGTGACTTGGCATCTGGACTGGTCCTACACCAATGTCTGGGTGACTTGGCATCTGGACTGGTCCTACACCAATGTCTGGGTGACTTGGCATCATGGACTGGTCCTACACCAATGTCTGGGTGACTTGGCATCTGGACTGGTCCTACACCAATGTCTGGGTGACTTTGACCTACACCAATGTCTGGGTGACTTGGCATCTGGACTGGTCCTACACCAATGTCTGGGTGACTTGGCATCTGGACTGGTCCTACACCAATGTCTGGGTGACTTGGCATCTGGACTGGTCCTACACCAATGTCTGGGTGACTTGGCATCTGGACTGGTCCTACACCAATGTCTGGGTGACTTGGCATCTGGACTGATCCTACACCAATGTCTGGGTGACTTGGCATTTTGACTGGTCCTACACCAATGTCTGGGTGACTTGGCATCTTGACTGGTCCTACACCAATGTCTGGGTGACTTGGCATCTGGACTGGTCCTACACCAATGTCTCGGTGACTTGATCTGGACTGGTCCTACACCAATGTCTGGGTGACTTGCAATCTGGACTGGTCCTACACCAATGTCTGGGTGACTTGGCATCTGGACTGGTCCTACACCAATGTCTGGGTGACTTGGCATTTGGACTGGTCCTACACCAATGTCTGAGTGACTTGGCATCTGGACTAGTCCTACACCAATGTCTGGGTGACTTGGCATCTGGACTGGTCCTACACTAATGTCTGGGTGACTTGACATTTTGACTCGTCCTACACCAATGTCTGGGTGATTTGGCATTTTGACTGGTCCTACACCAATGTCTGGATGACTTGGCATCTGGACTGGTCCTACACCAATGTGTGGGTTACTTGGCATTTGGACTTGTCCTACACCAATGTCTGGGTGACTTGGCATCTGGACTGGTCCTACACCAATGTCTGGGTGACTTGGCATTTTCACTCGTCCTACACCAATGTCTGGGTGACTTGGCATTGTGACTTGTCCTACACCAATGTCTGGTTGACTTGGCATTTTGACTGATCGTACTCCAAGGTCTGGGTGATTTGGCATTTAGATATGTCGTATAGGTGATATTTTGATAGGTTGTACAAAATTCTGGGTGATTTGGCACTGCCTGAGTTTGTGTGCCAAATGTCTGGGTGTGTTGTTTGTGTTTCTACCACCTGCTTGTCTGCTGCAGTCAATTGTTAAATCACTATCAGTTTAAACTTTGAGAGTTGATACTTGCAAACGTGCAAGGATTCTTCCATATACAGTACAGAAACATTGCATTATTTATTCCACCACGTGTTCCTTTACCGCAGTGTCCGAAACCAGCGCCGTGGCTTTCCAGGTCTTTGTATCAAGTTCCCTCAACGTAACGTCACTACACCCCGTTGTATATGACAGCATCATCTACGACAATGGATCTGGCTACAACACCACGACTGGGATGTTCACAGCACCAGTGAACGGAACCTACACGTTCTGGATACAGTTGGGCATTCGTCCCCTATGGTATTATCCACCCACTTCGATCAAACAATCGGGAAAGACAATCGGCAGTGGTTGGGCTTCATTTTCTTCTTCTGGTAAGGGCGCAGTGTCCGCTACATGTGTCAGCCATCTGCAGAAGGACGAGGAGGTGTGGGTGCAGTTTGAGCAGTACAGTGGAGATATTCCAGAAACAGTCACCGTTCTTTCAGGCAGCTATGTAGGGGATCCTACATCCTACTTTGGTGGTGCCCTTTTGAAAATGGACTAATTTAATTACAGGACATCTGCTTGAACATTTTGGTTTAATTCATCAACACTTCATTTTCCTTCCAATCTTAAAATACTTGTACTGGCAATCAAGAGCGATCTGACTTTCTAAAGTGTAATTATAAACTGATATGTGGGATGAATTCCATCTTATTTAGCACACCTATCATACCAAGTCATACCAACACGCATCATACGCGCCAGCATAACGTTTAGGAACAATAACGGCTGCAGTTATCAACTGATTTGGGGCGATGGGGTAGCCTAGTAGTTAAAGCGTTCGCTCGTCACAGCCGAAGGCCCGGGTTCGATTCCCCACATGGGTAGAATGTGTGAAGCCGATTTCTGGTTTCCCCCGCGATGATATTGTTGGAATATTGCTAAAGGCGGCGTATAACTAAAGCCATCCACTTATCATCAACTGATTTTATCAAACATAGGAGTCAGCGCAAAAGAATGTCCAGTCTTCATTATCCACAGAAGCAAATTCCGTTTGTTTGGTGCGAAAGAAAAAAATAGCTGTGAAAAGTATATGAATGGATCACTGAAAATCAGTGACACCAGGTGTTCGCGAAAAGGATAAGCTTGTTCTGCCCTACAAGTATTGTATAGTGTGTTTCTGACGAATACAACATGCAAAGTATCCTTCGTGGCGCTACGATAGCTTTGTGAAACGGGGCCCTGGAACCTAATCCTGATCGATGTGCCCAATTGACGTGATCTTCAGCCCAATCCAGACGTGCCTGTGTGTAATACTGAATCCATGGGATTCGGATGAGACCATCCTCGCGGAGACGATTGTGCACTGTTTGAGCTGCATCATCAACGTACCAATGGTCATTCCTGAGTGTGGTGGCTGTCACAAAGTGATGACGTCTTGCTGCAGTCAGAAGGAGCCTGTCTTACCATTGTCTGTTGCAACGCTGTCGACCACATGTCACTGGGTAGCTGATCCAAACGTCAGGTATCGATTCGACACTTCGGACATTGTGTTGACCCTTAAGCTGCTCCTAGTCCTTCAGTCACCAAACGACGTCTTTAACGCTGTATAATCCTCACGGACGTTGTGCTTCTCTGAAATAGTGCGCAACGATTCTGTTACAACTCCTTATTGACATACAATAAACACTTCCATAACATGGCATGCTGTACGGTGCACCATCTGTGAATAACGATTCTGTTACGATATATCCAAACACAGGTTTTCAAGCACCTCGTGCACAACGGTTCTGTTACGATATATCAGGTATTACATTCTTCTCGTGCACACTGCTCATGATCGGTGAACATTCTTCTCATATTACGGTGCAGGATTAGGGTCCGTAAACAGGTCATGGCACTTCGTGAGACCTTAGTACTTCCGGCGACAAACAACGTTTCATACTTTTTCGATTGGTTCATGGTTCTCAGTTGACAGTAAGGAACTGATAATTCTTGCAGGAATATAACATTTCCGATCTAACCATCCCAAATTAGTCAATTATTACGACTGTCAACAGCTGTAACAGCCAAGCATTGTCACACGTAGTCCGGTCTTGTAAAGTCATTTTTGGCGGTCGCGCAATTTAGAACCAGAACTGGTTCTTGAATATACGCTTGTCACCAGAAATCAGGTTCCAGAAGTAGTCTGGTTCCCGTCTTACATATCTCAAGTTGGGAACCAGCTTCTCGACCGGAAGTAGCGCCTTGCGAGACTTTACAGGTCCTCACTTATATCTTATGCCATCACTCCCAATGTCGATCAACAGTATCATGTCGTATGTCAATAAACCATCTTCTACAGATCGGCTGTTGTTGGCCTCGGCATGTATTCGACTTTGCAACAGCTACAACAAAGTCAATGCCATGTATGTCGTGTATGAACCCGGTTCGCCCATGTTATATTTCCTGGGTTTGTCCACACCAAAAGGGGCTGTTGGGTAGCCTTGTGTTTAGCTCATCGTTATTCTACATGGTAACAGATGGGACTCGCTGTCTTTGAGGTAGGTCATTAGTACGATTATCTCATGAGGAGAGTGAAGCCCATGAGTGCTCATGATTCAAGATTGACAATGACTATGATAACGTCCGTTCCTCACACGCTTAGACTTGGCTTTGGCTCAGTGGCACAAAGTACTGCCTTGGCCAGCATATTCACCGGATATTTTCCTTATTGAGCACGTGTGGGATGAAATGGAGAGACGTCTACGCTGTATACCAAATCCGCCACATAAAGGTTGTGAGGTGAAGAGAACATGACATGCCATTTCACAAGCCTCCAGTGACCATCTGATAGACTATATGCGTTGGCGATGCTCTGCCGCTCTCACTGTTCACGCGTACCCGTTATTGGCGTACCGCCTCGCAGTGGACATTAATTTTGAAAGTTTTAATAATCTCGAGTCATCCAGACAATCTTGACCAATCTGGACAACGTATCAGACCATAAGGCAACAAACATACAGCAGATCAAATCACTCGAGAAAACAAGACATTAAAAGATGTCAAAAATGACATTACATTACAGACCACCACCATGAAGCTGGAACATTGCTGTGATTGGCGTGAAACACCAAGCAAACAAACCCGAAACAATTGATCATTGAATTCTTCCCTCTGAAACCACACAAACAAAACAAACCAATATTACCTGAATACCAACAATCTGATGGGTACGTGATCGACAACGTAGGTGGACACAGCCGAATCCCTTGCTCCATAGCTAAACCCTTGAAATGGCTACTGCCAGTACAACGTTATTTGGTATCGGAATAAGGCATAACATTTGTGTTCCGAAAACCCCTTCAACATAATTCGATAGCACATAATTCAACATGTGTATTATGAAAATATGAAACACTTTTCATCAGTCAGTTATCATACAAGTAATGCAATATGTTATGTAATTTAGGCGTATATTAAGATTATCGCAGCACAACAAAAGTATATCGCGAGTGACCGAGTAACATAGTGACCATCAACCAGTTTGAACATCTCTCATGTCAATTCTGTTGCATGGTTCTGGGGTATAGTGAATTTAAATGCATTGGAAATATATATTTTGGCACTGAAACGTTCTCATAATAGTTGAGTCCTCAAAAGCCATTTAAGATGTTATTGTATTTGTTTGGAAATGCAAGTGATGCATATACATATGGGATATGTTGATTAAAACTATACTGTTTCAACTGGGTCTTGGATACACATGGATTGGGCAGGGATTTGAGGATGTTACAGGTTTTTATCCATTCTTCAACAAAGATGTAAAGATTGCTTTCACCAAGAATCCACTAGGAATATACAAACTGGAAAATGTTCTTATTCGCATTCTCTGCTGAAACAACATCTTATGAGTGAGTGAGTAAGTAAGTGAATGAGTGAGTTTTAGTTTTAGCAATATTCCAGCAATATCACTGTGGGGGACACCAGAAATGGACTTCACACATTTTACCCATGAGGGGAATCGAACCCGTGTCTTCGGCGTGACGAGTGAACGCTGTAACCACTAGGCTACCCCACCGCCCCCAACATCTTATGTGTGAAAAGTATTTAACTACTTTAAATGTGAGGAAATTAAGAGCAGCTTCGACGTGGTTATTAAAATCTAACGTATTATTAAAAAAAAACATGTCATGCCACTGAGAACCAATCCTGCAGAAAGAATGCTAATATTGAAGATTGCCATTCTCATATGTCCACAGTATGAATTCTAGGGAGTCATATATCCAATCTAAGTATACATCACAATTTACGCATTCTGTATACCCATGTCAACAGAAAATGACCAGCTTCTACAGAATTTTGCTACGTTAATATACCATGCACTGTCAACACGTAAACGTACATGTACCAATAACCCATTATAACCGTTTTGAGTGTTGTACTAGCTTCTACAGTTCAGTAATAAAGAATATCTCACGAGAATATTTCCATATTCAGTAAGAAATCCAAATATGTTAATCTAAATATATGTTTTCACTTACTTAAGATGGGTATTACAAGTCTCTCAACAAATGACATGGATATCGAGTGATTTAAGAGGAAAGAGGATATTTTCGTTTAGGTACATGACTGAGTCTAATAGGTTTATAATGTGTTGCAATTCGCCGCGTAGGGCTGCTTCCATTTGACAAGACAGATGTCTGTTTTTGTTGGCTACGAATGAGTGAGTGAGTTAGTTTTACATCGCATTCAGCAATATTCCAGCTATATGGCGGCGGTGTGTAAATAATCGAATCTGGACCAGACAATCCAGTGATCAACAGCACGAGCATCGATCTACGCAACTGGGAACCGATGACATGTGCCAACCAAGTCAATGAGCCTAACAACCCGATCACGTTAGTCGCCTCTTACCACAAGCATGGGTTACTGAAGATCAATTCTAGTCCGGATCTTCACGGGTCCGTTGGTTACGAACCCTACTTTCATCCTGTTTTCAGGTTTGGCAGCACCATTCATTTGTTGTGGCAAACGTGAAAGACCTCAAGCAACTACCAGGAATCTTTCCTCTCACACTCGTAATTGGGTGAAGCCCATTTATAGTGTCCTCTGCCGGAATAATGCTAAAAGCGGCGGTAAACCTCACTCACTTACTCACACGAAAATCCTCACAAACCAAACTGATTTTGCGATAATAGCAGAATAATATATAGCAGTATATATATTGACGAAAAAGAAACCACACTTACTTGATAGATCACTTGTGAAGTGATATTCGTCACTCATCAACTCTTCATTGTTTTATTACTTTACCGAAGAGCCATACTTATTCTCCTATCGTGAGAAGCAACAGTCTGCCACATGCATTATTTTTGGAATAATCTTATCTGCAACTACGTCACAGGCACAAGAGAGTCCCGACAAATAGTCTTGTGTATATCCCAGAAATATTCCATTATTACGTAAAAGCAGAGAAGCGTAAGGATACATCAAAGGTATAAAGTGCCAAAACTGAAACACATCAACGGTTTATATTCACATATTTGGCTGTTGACGTATATCACAGAGATACATATGGCGTATACATTTTCATTTAAATACTTTTTCCTTTCGAGTTCCTAGTTTGACATCATCGACGTCTCTGTCACGTGGTGTCAGACAGTTAGATAAGGTATAAAACCATTGGCACTGTGCTTGACATTTTATCTTACACAAGTAGGCCATGATGTTTGAAGCAGTTTTCCGTTTGTGTATATTCCTACCTTACATCTCCGGACTGATTATGCCGTTAACGAAATCCGACGGTACTGTCAACCTTACCACTATCTTGAGTCACATCACTCTCCTCGAACAGACTGTGGACACTCTTCACAAGGACACAAGCAGGTTGCAGATAGATCTGCGGACTACGAACGAAACACTCCAGCTCACACAGGCAGATCTGAATATTACAAAACAGGAACTACAGACGTCTCGCACAGAACTGCAGGTAACTCAAACAGATCTGAATATTACAAAGCAGGAACTACAGACGTCTCGCACAGAACTGCAGGCAACAAAGGTCGACCTTCAACATACACAGACCGATCTTCAAACTATAAAGAAAGACCTTCAGGCCGCCCAGACAGACCTCATGACAAACAAGGGGCTTCGACAATCTGCAGCTGCTGAGATTTTGTCTCTCAAAAACAACATGACCATACTGAGAACCGAACTCGGAATCGTGAAATCAAAAGTGGAAAACACCTGTCCAGATTTTCATCCTCTGAGTTCAACCTCCAACGATTCCCTTCTCGTTTCCTTGAATGGGAGCTTTACAGCGAACCAGGATGTTATAAGGGCAATTGTTCTGGATGTGGAATCAGTTCACAGCGACCTCAACACCACGGCACACACACTTTCAGAGGTCCAGGCCGACATCAATAGCTTTAAGCGGAATATATCTTCTGCGCTTAGAAATGTAACTGCGGAGTGTACAGCGCTGAAATCTGATTCTCATTTATTCAGTTCCCTCCAGTCGGACATAACAGCAATGGATAAGAAATTGTCCTTCTTAAACATAACCGTTCGTGAAGTTCAGTCAGAAGCACGACAAGTTGCAGCTAATACATCTTCTGTGATACAGCTCATTGCTCACAGGCAGTCACTGAAGACTCTAGCACAAGATACGTGGGCCCAATTGAAGCAGTGTGAGAAGAATGTGAACTCAACTGATGCGAGTATGACGGCTCAACTTAACCGTTTGGAAATGGATATGAATTGTACTTCCGTTTATATTCACAACGTCCAACAGAACCTCCTCTCCCTCGAGTCTGACCTCAACACGACTCGGGAGGACATCACAATGACGAACTCCGACGTGCATGCGCTGAACAAAACTCTGGGTAAGATCCAGTTATATTCTATGCATTTGGCGTTTAGTTTTTATGGTGAAAAAGTACACATTAATTGCCCTGGACATGGAAAATTGAGCTTGATAAATATAATAGACCTTACCTTATGAAATTAATACACACAATAACACTGCATAGTATGTGGGAATATATATTTTGAGAAAAGATCAACTGAACAACTCGTCATGATTGACAAAATGAAACTATCAAATGTTAGTGAGGTTTTTACGACTGTAAAATCACTTAATTTTGAAATTATCTGAACAAGATGGCTCCACAGATAGTTATTAAAACTAATATGTAAAAACCTAAGGTACCTGTTATGATAAGCCAAGTCACGAGATTGCTGCTTGTGTGTATAAAACTATGGGGCTCTGAAAAGATACACAAAAGTATCGCAACGACTCTGATTTTAATCCCAATATAGCCATGCATATTCATATCATAATTATGATTGTATGATTAGTTTGAACATTTCGGACGCACCACACATTGGTTTAAATATTCACGTCAAGTTTTATCTAGAAAACATGGAAAATCAATTGATTTTGTTGTTGATAAGCAAATATGGATCCTGCTCAAACTCACAACTGACAAAGAGAGCAAGTTATTGGTATGCTGAATGCTGGCATGTCACTGAGGGATATTGCAAGGTTGTCATCTAGCGACTGTCAGCCGATTGGGGAGGGAACATCGTCAAACTGATGACGTTAAGCAAACTAATAGGTAGGAATGATACATTTGACCTGGCATTTTGACTGCCCTAGGAGACTTGGCATTTTGTCTAGCTGTACACCAATGTTTGTGTTCCAAATATTTCGGGCGTTACTTGTTGGCGTTTTTTATACCATAGGTTTGGGGTCCAGCTTGTATTTGCACCTACTGCTTTTTCTACTCTTGATTCGATTGCTAATCAGTGATGGTCAGGCACTTGCAGAGATTCTTACATTTCCAATACAGGAAATATTACATTATACATTTAACCACGTGTTCTTTCATCGCAGCATCCAAAACCCGAGCCGTGGCTTTCCAGGCGTATGCATCAAGGTCCCGCAATGTAACGTCACAACACCCCGTGGTGTACGACAGCACCATCTACAACATCGGATCTGGCTACAACCACACAACCGGGAATTTCACAGCACCGGTCTCCGGAACCTACATGTTCTGGACAGAATTGCGTATCAATTCCTACGCCTACACTCCGCACATGACTATCAAACAGTCGGGAAGGTCAATCGGCAGTGGTTGGTCTGCATCAACGTCTACAGATGATGAGTCCGTTATTTCCGCTACGTGTGTTAGTCATCTGCAGAAGGGCGAGGCAGTATGGGTGGAGTTTGAAAAGTTTGCATGGTGGGCAACTGCTGTCTCTGTTGTCCCAGGTGGCTTTGACACAAGGCCAAAATCCTTCTTTGGTGGTGCCCTTTTAACAGTGGACTAATTTTATTACCAGGCATCCACTTCAATCCATTAGGACCCTTTTAGCAGTTACCAAGCAACCAAAATGTGTGATCATGAAAATTTGTGAAGTCACTGGTTTACTTGAAACAAAATTCACTCATTCAACCTTGAGTTTGTTAGGTCCAGGACCTTATGATGACTTACGATATGGTCAGACACTGTGACTCTGCAGATTGTATCATATCTCAAAGACACGGGTTATGACCATGCCGTTTCCGCCTTGTCATCTAAGCCTCTATAATTTCACAGGTCACACTAAACAACAAACAATACAACGTAATTTAGTTATCATCATGGCCATTTCAGAAGCAAGATCTGTTTTGAAGCTGCAGTTATCTCTATGCTGATTGCCAGTAAATTATCACATGAATATTATGAGCAACCATCCACGCAACTATGTTGACATAACGTTTTCAAGATTCATAAGTGGCTAAGGATCAGCATCTACAGGAGAAAATATATGACCAATACCATGTTTTATAATCATGTTTATTGCCTAAAGCAAACACATGATGCTAGAAGATCAGGTATTCCCCAGTTAGAAGTATTTCTGTAAGGGTTCTCCCAGGGTCCTCTCCATGTCCGCTATGACAGTCTGGCAGCGTTTCTCAACTTCTTCATTTCCATCTGACTAAACGAAAAGACAAACAAATTAAAATGAGTTCAGCTAGGAAAGGAATGGTCTCCGGTAGTAGTGGCAAGAAGTCATCCAGGAGCTTCTTGTGGAACTCTTCTGTCACTCCCAGGGCAGCAAACTTGACCTGCACGATCATAACACATCTTGCAGTCATTGATTGATTGTTGGCTGTAAGTAATCGAATCTGGACCAGACAATCCACTGATCAACAGCCTGACCATCGATCTACGCAGTTGGGATACGATGACATGTGTCAACCAAGTCAGCGAGCCTGACCACCCAATCCCATCTTATGGCAAACATGGGTTGCTGAACACCAATTCTTATCTGAACTTTCGTGGGTTTGATTTAATTGTGACTTACTTGGTCAACGATTGGTTGCACGAGTGTTTCGAACCTCTCGGCAGATACAAAGCCATCAAACTGTCGTATAGGAAGCACTTGTATAGTGTGTCCAATACACAGGACACCAGCTGGGTAGACATCTTCCGGGACCGCTTGCTCTTACCGAAGTACCTGCCATCTGGTAGAAACTGATTTTATTGGTATACATGTACTTGGGTGAATATTACAAAGCTTGTACATGTCCTGATCACAGGAGACAATCCCAAAAGTCCACACATATGCAGTCTTAAGGATCTACATACAGCACGATTCAAAGAAGCTGTAACCTACTTAGCAACGAATCTCCATAGGAAAACCACTGATAAATACAAACTAGCACAAAAGTTGGTGAAAATTTGGTTTGTCCTTCAGAAAACTGATACCAGTAGTACAATATTTTCTCTTGTGGCAGCTTTAAGACAGTCGCCACTATATTTCCCATCAGATTTTGAGGTGTTTACCTTAATGCTGATTTCCTTAAAACATGCGCTCCAAAGCACGGAGCGAGATGGATTTAAAGCTACTTTAAACAGTATACATTTATATTGTGGTAGGTCAGCTTAATACAGGAGGAAAACCCGAAGTGATGCAGGTCTTAGACGTTTGGGACGCTGGTTATACCCATGTGCACGGGTAAAGAGCTGACAAATCTAGAAACAACTAGAATCCACGATCATTGGTTTCTGGCATGTTCATGGGACAACTCTGCACTGTGCCCTACCGTGCCTCCACTAAAGCATTTAGAAAGGTAATGGTAAAAAGGACAACCAGTTACAGCATCAATTTTTCTAACTGTCTGGACATGTATGTGTGCATGCTTATGTAAAACCTGGGAGCCATTTCACGCATCAGTGATATTAAGAATGTGGATAATTTCATTTCTCTTCGTGGGCAAAAATGATCTCTCAAAAACTGAAAAGTGTTCAGATTTCGTTCCATTTATGAGGCCCATTTCATGTCTGATAATAACAGCTAAGAGCTGACCATGCCATAGTGCAAACGATTCAAAAGCAGTGAAAGTCGGTAAAATTAATGTGTACGTAGTGAATTCAAAAACAGCTAATCGAACCGTTTTCGTACTCCTTGCACTGCATGCGTCATATTATGACGTCGTACGATTGTCAGCGATACAGCTTCTCGGCGGAGAGTTTGGCGGTAACCGTGGCAGCGGGTAATATTTTTTCCAGTTGTCACCCTCCTGGGAGGGTGATACGGAAACTTGTTAAAATGTCATTTACCAACGAAATTAAAGTATTTTACAAGAGGGTCAGATAATAGAGAATGTAAGCAGTATGACCTGGATGTTCCCACAGTTTCTCCTACCTCCTCTACTGTACAAAGTGTGACTTTTCAACTTATCCGCCAGTCTGAAGAACCAGTCATCTGCAGAAGGACGAGGAGGTGTGGGTGCAGTTTGAACAGTTCCGTTCACGTATTGTCTTTAAACTAGCATGGAAAACCTATTATAAGTTTGATAAGCCTAGTCACGACATTGCTGTTTCAACTATAATTAGTGTCTGAAAATACTTGGCGACTTGGCATTTTGACTGGTCGTACTCCAATGTCTGGGTGACTTGGCATTTTGACTGGTCGTACACCAATGTCTGGGCGACTTGACATTTTGATTGGTACTTCAAAGTCTGGGTGACTTGGCATTTTGACTGGTCGTACACCAAGGTCTGGGTGACTTGGCATTTTGACTGGTCGTACACCAAGGTCTGGGTGACTTTGCATTTTGACTGGTCCTGCACCAAGGTCTGGGCGAATTGACATTTTGATTGGTACTTCAATGTCTGGGTGACTTGGCATTTTGACTGGTCGTACACCAAGGTCTGGGTGACCTGACATTTTGACTGGTCGTACACCAAGGTCTGGGTGACTTGGCATTTTGACTAGTCGTACACCAAGGTCTGGGTGACTTGGCATTTTGACTGGTCGTACACCAATGTCTGGGTGACTTGGCATTTTGACTGGTCGTACACCAAGGTCTGGGTGACCTGACATTTTGACTGGTCGTACACCAAGGTCTGGGTGACTTGGCATTTTGACTAGTCGTACACCAAGGTCTGGGTGACTTGGCATTTTGACTGGTCGTACACCAATGTCTGGGTGACTTGGCATTTTGACTGGTCGTACACCAATGTCTGGGCGACTTGACATTTTGATTGGTACCGCAATGTCTGGGTGACTTGTCATTTTGACTGGTCGTACACCAAGGTCTTGGTGACCTGACATTTTGACTGGTCCTACACCAAGGTCTGGGTGACTTGGCATTTTGACTGGTCGTACACCAATGTCTGGGTAACTTGGCATTTTGACTGGTCGTACACCAATGTCTGGGCGACTTGACATTTTGATTGGTACTTCAATGTCTGGGTGACTTGGCATTTTGACTGGTCGTACACCAAGGTCTGGGTGACCTGACATTTTCACTGGTCCAACACCAAGGTCTGGGTGACTTGGCATTTTGACTGGTCGTACACCAAGGTCTGGGTGACTTGGCATTTTGACTGGTCGTACACCAAGGTCTGGGTAACCTGACATTTTGACTGGTCCTACACCAATGTCTGGGTAACCTGACATTTTGACTGGTCGTACTCCAATGTCTGGGTGACTTGGCATTTTGACTGGTCGTACACCAAGGTCTGGGTGACTTGGCATTTTGACTGGTCGTACACCAATGTCAGGGTGACTTGGCATTTTGACTGGTCCTACACCAAGGTCTGGGTAACCTGACATTTTGACTGGTCGTACACGAATGTCTGGGTGACTTGGCATTTTGACTGGTCGTACACCAATGTCTGGGTGACTTGGGATTTTGACTGGTCGTTCACCAATGTCTGGGTGACTTGGCATTTTGACTGGTCGTACTCCAATGTCTGGGTGACTTGGCATTTTGACTGGTCTTACACCAATGTCTGGGTAACCTGACATTTTGACTGGTCGTACACCAAGGTCTGGGTGACTTGGCATTTTGACTGGTCGTACTCCAATGTCTGGGTGACTTGGCATTTTGACTGGTCGTACACCAAGGTCTGGTAGACCTGACATTTTGACTGGTCGTACACCAAGATCTGGGTGACGTGACAGTTTGGCTGGTCGTACACCAAGGTCTGGGTGACTTGGCATTTTGACTAGTCGTACACCAAGGTCTGGGTGACCTGACATTTTGACTGGTCGTACACCAATGTCTGGGTGACTTGGCATTTTGACTGGTCGTACTCCAATGTCTGGGTGACTTGGCATTTTGACTGGTCGTACACCAATGTCTGGGTAACCTGACATTTTGACTGGTCGTACACCAATGTCTGGGTGACTTGGCATTTTGACTGGTCGTACTCCAATGTCTGGGTGACTTGGCATTTTGACTGGTCGTATACCAAGGTCTGGTAGACCTGACATTATGACTAGTCGTACACCAAGGTCTGGGTGACGTGACATTTTGGCTGGTCGTACACCAAGGTCTGGGTGACTTGGCATTTTGACTAGTCGTACACCAAGGTCTGGGTGACCTGACATTTTGACTGGTCGTACACCAATGTCTGGATGACTTGGCATTTTGACTGGTCGTACACCAAGGTCTGGATGACTTGGCATTTTGACTGGTCGTACACCAAGGTCTGGGTGACGTGACATTTTGACTGGTCGTACACCAAGGTCTGGGTGACTTGGCATTTTGACTAGTCGTACACCAAGGTCTGGGTGACCTGACATTTTGACTGGTCGTACACCAAGGTCTGGATGACTTGGCATTTTGACTGGTCGTACACCAAGGTCTGGATGACTTGGCATTTTGACTGGTCGTACACCAAGGTCTGGGTGACCTGACATTTTGACTGGTCGTACACCAAGGTCTGGGTAACCTGACATTTTGACTGGTCGTACACCAAGGTCTGGGTGACCTGGCATTTTGACTGGTCGTACACCAAGGTCTGGGTGACTTGGCATTTTGACTGGTCGTACACCAAGGTCTGGGTGACTTTGCATTTTGACTGGTCGTACACGCAAGTCTGGGTGACCTGACATTTTGACTGGTACTCCAATGTCTGGATGACTTGACATTTTGACTGGTCGTACACCCAGGTCTGGGTGACTTGACATTTTGACTGGTACTCCAATGTCTGGATGACTTGACATTTTGACTGGTCGTACACCCAGGTCTGGGTGACTTGACATTTTGACTGGTACTCCAATGTCTGGATGACTTGACATTTTGACTGGTCGTACACCAAGGTCTGGGTAACCTGACATTTTGACTGGTCGTACACCAAGGTCTGGGTGACCTGACATTTTGACTGGTCGTACACCAAGGTCTGGGTGACCTGACATTTTGACTGGTCGTACACCAAGGTCTGGGTGACCTGACATTTTGACTGGTACTCCAATGTCTGGATGACTTGACATTTTGACTGGTCGTACACCAAGGTCTGGGTGACCTGACATTTTGACTGGTCGTACACGAAGGTCTGGATGGCTTGGCATTTTGACTGGTCCTACACCAAGGTCTGGGTGACTTGGCATTTTGACTGGTCGTACACCCAGGTCTGGGTGCCCTGACATTTTGACTGGTCGTTCACCAAGGTCTGGGTGAGGTGACATTTTGGCTGGTCGTACACCAAGGTCTGGATGACTTGACATTTTGACTGGTCGTACACCAAGGTCTGGGTGACCTGACATTTTGACTGGTCCTACACCAAGGTCTGGGTGACCTGACATTTTGACTGGTACTCCAATGTCTGGATGACCTGACATTTTGACTGGTCGTACACCAAGGTCTGGTTACCTGACATTTTGACTGGTCGTACACCAAGGTCTGGGTGACTTGGCATTTTGACTGGTCCTACACCAATGTCTGGGTGACTTGGCATTTTGACTGGTCCTACACCAAGGTCTGGATGACTTGGCATTTAGATATGCCGTACACCAATGTCTGGAAGACCTGGTATTTTGACTGCTCGTACACCAATGTCTGGGTGATTTGGCATTTAGATATGTCGTATAGGTGATATTTTGACAGGTTGTACAAAAACGTCTGAGTGACTTGGCACTGCCTGGGTTTGTGCGCCAAATGTTCGGGGTGCTGTTTGTGTTTCTACCCACTGTTTGTCTGCTCAGGAGTCAATTGTTAAATCACTATCAGTTTAAACTTTGAGAGTTGATACTTGCAAACGTGCAAGGATTCTTCCATATACAGTACAGAAAGATTGGATTAAATATTCCACCACGTGTTCCTTCACCGCAGTGTCCGAAACCAGCGCCGTGGCTTTCCAGGTTTTTGTGTCAAGTTCCTACAACGTAACATCACTAGACCCCGTGGTGTATGACAGCATCATCTACGACACTGGATCTGGCTACAACACCACGACTGGGGTGTTCACAGCACCAGTGAACGGAACCTACATGTTCTGGATACAGTTGGGCATTCGTCCCCTACGGTACTATCCATCCACTTCGATCAGACAATCGGGAAAGACAATCGGCAGTGGTTGGGCTGCATATTCTTCTTCTTCCGAGGGCGCAGTTTCCGCTACGTGTGTCAGTCATCTGCAGAAGGACGAGGAGGTGTGGGTGCAGTTTGAAGAGTTCCGTGGAGATATTCCAACACCAGTCACCGTTCGTTCAGGCAGCTATGTAGGAGATCCGATATCCTACTTTGGTGGTGTCCTTTTGACAATGGACTAATTTAATTACAGGATATCTGCTTCAACAGTATTGTCTAATTCATCCAAACTTCATTGGCCTTCATTATCTTACAATACTTGTACTGGCAACTTAGAGCGATCTGACTTTCCAAAGGGTAATTCTAAAATTAACTAATATGTGGGATGAATTTCTACACGTATCTGTATTTTTAGCACATTTCGACAAACCGAAGAAATACCAACACGCATCATGCGCGCCAGTTTAATGTTTAGGGGCAATAACGGCAGCAGTTATCAACTGATTTGGGGCAGTGGGGTAGCCCAGTGGTTAAAATGTTAGACCCAGGTTCGATTCCCCACATGGCTACAATGTGTAAAGCCGATTGGAATATTGTTAAAAGCATCGTAAAACTAAACACACTCACTTATAATCAACGGATTTTATTGAATATAGAACGTCAGTGCAAAAGAATCCCCAGTCTTCATTATCTTTAGAAGCAAATTCCGTTTGTTTGGTGTAAACGGAAACATAGCTCTGAAAATTATATGAAAGGATCACTGAAAATCAGTGATGACACCAGGTGTTCGCGACAAGGGTAGGCATGTCCTGCCCTACAGTATTGTATGGTGTTATTCTCACGAATACAGCATGTGATGTGTCCTTTCAAAACATTATCTAACCACCTCCGTGGTGTAGTGGTTAGAGCGTCCGCCCGGAGAGCGGAAGGTCGCGGGTTCGATCCCCGACCGCGTCATACCAAAAGACGTTGAAATATGGTACTTGTTGGTCCCTGCCTGGCGCTCGGCATTAATGGGTACAACAAGGACTGGTCGGCTCGGAGTCAGTATAATGTGTCTGAGTGGGGTATTCATGCTTCACTGCGGCATGGTATCTCAGTGGGCTAGCACTATAAAACCAGCTTAAGTCTGGGCTAGTACAAGCAGCTGCACATACACATACACACGCATGCACGTCGTCATATGAGCAAAATATTCTTAAGCACGACGTTAAACCCAATTTCACCTCACCTCAGTTCAAAAAACATTATCTAAATTCAAGTGGTCATGCCATATGCCTTATGATGTAAATCACTGAATTGTCTGACACAGACTCCAGACTATTTACACAAAAGATACAGCTGGAATATTGCTGAGAGCAGAGTTAAACAAGACACAGATCAACAAAAAAGTTATGTTTAATACACAGTCAAATTAAGTTGGTCAAAGGATTCATAGCAATAACCAAACCTGCCCTCTCAACCAACTCCCCTCGGAAAGAACAGGCAGGCCGTGCTACCGGAGATCGGATGAAGTGGGTCCGTACGAACAGCTGAATGACAGGCTGTCCTATTGGGGACATGGAGAGCAGTTCTTCCATCTAAACCAATCCAACCCCAAGTCATGACTGAGCCTCCTCAAGTTCGGCTTCGTTGGAATCCTGAATCGAAACACTTGGGCAGGACACTCTATGAAGGCAAGACAATATTTCGAGTCACCTGAAAAGTAAAGGGCTTGTTTCCCAAAGCTATCGTAGCGCTACGACTGTCGTACCTCCGATACTTGGCCTATATTTTCGAAGCTCTCTTAGCGCTAAGATGGTCGTAAGTTAAAGTTAATGTATGACACTTAGCGCTAAGAGAGCTTCGAAACTCTTGGCCCTGTAACATAGACTTACGGCAGTCGTAGCGCTACGATAGCTTTGTAAAACGAAGCCCTGGAACCCAGTCCTGATGTGTCCAATTGACGTGATCTTCAGCCCAATCCAGACGTGCCTGCGTGTGATATTGGATCGATTGGGATTCGGATGTATACCGAGACCAGCCTCACGGAGACGATTATGCACTGTTTGAGCTGAATCAACGTCATCAACGTACCAATTGTCATTCCTGAGTGTGGTGGCTGTCAAAAAGTGATGACGTCTTGCTGCGGTCAGGAGGAGCCTGTCTTACCACTGTCTGTTGCAACGCTGTCGACCACATGTCACTGGGTAGCTGACCTAAACGTCAGGTATCGATTCCATGCCCTGCTGCTCACACTTTGTCGGACACCAAAGAAATTTGCATCGTGGCATTGTGTTGACCAAGTTTAAGCGTGCCCATGCACCTACCTAGTCCTTCAGTCACCAAACGACGTCTTTAAAGCTGAAGGAATTAAACAGTTCAGTTGCTACAATCCTCACTGGTTCTATGAAAATAATGCGCAACGATCCATGCCCTGCTGCTCACACTTTGTCGGACACCAAAGATATTTGCATCGTGGCATTGTGTTGACCAAGTTTAAGCGTGCCCATGCACCTACCTCGTCCTTCAGTCACCAAACGACGTCTTTAACGCTGAGGGGAATTAAACAGTTCAGTTGCTACAATCCTCACTTGTTTATGGTGTGTTATGCTTCTATGAAAATAATGGGCAACGATTCTGTTACGATATATCCAAACACAGGTTTTCAAGCACCTCGTGCACATGGCGCTCATGATCAGGTATTACATTCTTCTCAAAACTTACGGTGACCTGCAGGAATAGGGTCCGTGAGTAAGGTCACGGCACTTCGTGAGACCTTAGTATTTCTGGCGACAAACAACGTTTCATACCTTTTCGAATGATTTCATGGTTCTCAGCTGACAGTAAGGAACCGATAATTCTTGCAGGAATATAACATTTCCGATCTAACCATCTCCAAATTAGTCAATTATTACGACTGTCCACAGATGTTACAGCCAAGCATGGTTGTACACTTGGTCCGGTCTAGTAAAGTCATTTTTGGCGGTCGCGCAATTTAGAACCAGAACTGGTTCTTGAATATACGCTTGTCACCGGAAATCTGATACCGGAAGTTAGCTGGTCCCCGTCTGACATATTAGCAAGTTGGGAACCAGCTTAGTACCGGAAGTAGCGCCTCGCGAGACTTACAGGCCCTATTATCTTATGCCATCTCTCCCAATGTCGATCAACACTATCATGTCGTATGTCAATAAACCATCTTTCCAGTCGGCTGTTGTTGGGCTCGTCATGAATTCGACTTTGCAACAGCTACAACAAAGTCAATGCCATGTATGTCGTGTACAAACCCGGTTCGCCCATGTTATATTTCCTGGCTTTGTCCACACCAAAAGGGGCTGTTGGGTAGCCTTGTGGTCCGCGATTATACATGGCTACAGATGGGACTCGCAGTCTTTGAGGTAGGTCAGCACGATTATCTTATGAAGAGAGTGAAGCCCATTTCTGGTGTGTCTTGTCATGATATTGCTGAAATATTGCTAAAAGCGGCGTAAAACTAAACTCACTCACTCAAGAGTACCGGTACCGTTATGCTCAAGCCTGTGTCGCAGAGAGGAATCGCTTCGGGGAGGTTACGTGAACTGGGGTGGGATAAGTGCTCATCAGGGAACCCCTTTTAATACAGCTGCTGTTTAGCGCAATGTGAAAGTTGTGGGCTATAGAGATAAGATTTTCGGACCAGTGGCAATACAGTTTTTTCAACGTCATGATTCACGATTGACAATGACTATGATAACGTCGTCCTCACACGACTTGAGTTGCTTTGACTTTTCTTCAGTGGCACAAAGTACTGCCTTGGCCTGCATATTCACCGTATAATTCCCTTATTGAGCACGTGTGGGATGAAATGGAGAAACGTCTACTCTGTATACCAAATCCGCCATATAAAGTTTGTGAGTTGAAGTGAACATGACATGCCATTCCACAAGCCCCCAGTGACCATCTGATTGACTATATGCGTGGGCGATGCTCTGCCGGTCTCACTGTTCACGGTGTGCGTACCCGTTATTGGGTTTGTGACCACTGGACAATAATTTGAAAGTATTTTAATAATCTCCAGTCAACCAGACAATCTTGACCCATCCGAGACAACGTATCAGACCATAAGGCAGCAAACATATACAGCAGATCAAATACTCGAGAAAACAAGAGATTAAAAGATCTAAAAAATGACATTACATTACATGACCACCACCATGTAGCTGGAATATTGCTGTGATTGGCGTGAAACACCAAGCAAACAAACCCGAAACAATTGATCATTGAATTCTTCTCTCTGAAACCAACCAAAGAAAACAAACCAATATTACCTGAATACCAACAATCTGATGGGTACGTGTTGGACAAAGTAGATGGACACAGCCGAATCCCTTGCTCGATAGCTAAACCTTTGAAATGGCTACTGCCAGTACAACGTTAATTGGTATCGGAATAAGGCATAACATTTGTGTTCCGAAAACCCCTTCAATATAATTCGGTAGCACATAATTCAACACTCTCATGTGTATTGTGAAAATATGAAACACTTTTCATCAGTCAGTTATCATACAAGTAATGCAATATGTTATGTAATTTTATGTGTATGTTAAGATTCTCGCAGCACAGCAAAAGGATATGGCGAGTGACCGAGTAACATAGTAACCATCAACCAGTTTGAACATCTCTCATGTCAATTCTGTTGCCTGGTTCTGGGGTATAGTGAATTTAAATGCATTGGAAATATATATATTGGTACTGAAACGTTCTCATATTGGTTGAAACTCATCGAAAATGCGTCCTCAAAAGCCATTTAAGATGTTATTGTATTTGTTTGGAAATGCAAGTGATGCTCGAAATGAACATATGGGTTATGTTAATTAAAACTATACTGTTTCAACTGGGTCTTGGATATGCATGGGTTGGGCAGGGAGTTGAGCATGTTTCAGATTTCTTTATCCATTCTTCAACAAAGATGTAAAGATTGCTTTCACCAAGAATGGACTAGGAATATTCAAACTGGAAAATGTTCTTATTCGCATTCATTGCTGAAACAACACCTTATGAGTGAGTGAGTGAGTGAGTTTTACTTTTAGCAATATTCCAGCAATATCACGGTGGGGACACCTGAAATGGGCTTCACACATTATACCCATGTGTGGGGAATCGAACCCGGATCGAACGCTGTAACCACTAGGCTACCCCACCGCCCCCAACATCTTATGTGTGAAAAGTATTTAACTACTTTAAATGTGAGGAAATTAAGAGCAGTTTCGACGTGGTTATTATAATCTAACGTATTATAAAAAAAACATGTCATGCCACTGAGAATCAATCCTGCAGAAACTGCCTCCGTGGTGTAGTGGTTAGAGCGTCCGCCCGGAGAGCGGAAGGTCGCGGGTTCGATCCCCGACCGCGTCATACCAAAAGACGTTAAAATATGGTACTTGTTGGTCCCTGCCTGGCGCTCGGCATTAATGGGTACAACAAGGACTGGTCGGCTCGGAGTCAGTATAATGTGTCTTAGTGGGGTATTCATGCTTCACTGCGGCAAGGTATCTCAGTGGGCTAGCACTATAAAACCAGCTTAAGTCGGGGCTGGTACAAGCAGCCGCACCTTCACATCCACACGCATGCACGTCGTCATATGAGCGAAACATTGTCAAGCACGACGTTAAACCCAATTTCACCTCACCTCACCTCACCTCACCACACCTCACCTCAATCCTGCAGAAAGTGGAACACTGATAATATTGAAGATGAATACCACGTTATTCTCATATGTCCACAGTATGAAGATCTAAGGAGCCGTTATATCCCATCTAAGTATACATCCTGTCTCACAATTTACGCATTCTGTATACTAATGTCAACAGAAAATGCCCAGCTTCTACAGAATGTTGCTACGTTAATACACCATGCACTGTCAACACGTAAACGTACATGTACCAATAACCCATTATAACCGTTTTCAGTTGTACTAGTTTCTACAGTTCAGTTATAAAGTATATCTCACGGGAATATTTCCATATTCAGTAGGAAATCCAAATATGTTAATCTAAATATATGTTTTCAAGTCTCTCAACACATGAGATGGATATCGTGACATTTAAGAGGAAAATTGATATTTGCGTTTAGGTACATGATTGAGGGCACGGGTGGCTTAAAAGTCTAATAGGTTTATAATGTGTTGCATTTCGGCGTGTAGGGTTGTTTCCTTTTGACAAGACTGAAGTCTGTTTTCGTTTGCTACGAACGAGTACCTCAACGTCAAATTCAACGTCTGATACAATCAGTGAAACGGAGTGAGTGAGTGAGTGAGTTTAGTTTTACGCCGCATTCAACAATATTCCAGCTATATCGCGGCGGTGTGCAAATAATCGCGTCTGGACCAGACAATCCAGTGATCCACAGCATGAGCATCGATCTACGCAACTGGGAACCGATGACATGTGTCAAGCAAGTCAACGAGCCTAACAACCCAATCCCGTTAGTCGCCTCTTACGACAAGCAAGGGTTACTGAAGATCAATTCTAGTCCAGATCTTCACGGGTCCGTTGGTTACGAACCCTACCCCTGTTTTTAAGTTTGGCAGCACTATTCATTTGCTGATGGGCTTCACCAACGTGGCAAACGTGAAAGACCTCAAGCAACTAGCAGGAATCTTTCCTCTCACATTCGTAATTGGGTGAAGCCCATTTATAGTGTCCCCTGCCGTAATTATGGAATATTGCTAAAAGCGGAGGTAAACCTCACTCACTTACTCACACGAAAACCCACACAAACCAAACTGATTATGTGATAACAGCAGCATAATATACAGTAATATATATTTACGAAAAAGAAACCACACGTACTTTGTAGATCACTTGTGAAGTGATATTCGGCACTCATCAACTCTTCATTGTTTTATTACTTTACCGAAGAACCATACTTATTCTCCTATCGTGAGAATCAACAATCTGCCACATGCATATTTTTGGAATAATCTTATCTGCAACTACGTCACAGGCACAAGAGTGTCCCGACAAATAGTTAAATTGTCTTGGGCATATCCCAGAAATATTCCATTATTACGTAAATGCAGAGAAGCGTAAGGATACATCAAAGGTATAAAGTGCCAAAACTGAAACACATCAACGGTATATATTCACATATTTGACTGTTGATGCAAATGACAGAGACACTTATACATTTTCATTTTGATATTTTTTCCTTTCGAGTTCCCACTTTTACATCGTTGACATCTCTGTCACGTGGTGTCAGACAGTTAGATAAGGTATAAAACCATTGGCACTGCGCTTGAATTTTTATATTATACAAGTAAGCCATGATGTTTGAAGCAGTTTTCCGTTTGTGTATATTCCTACCTTACATCTCCGGACTGATTCTGCCGTTAACGAAATCCGACGGTAGTGCCGACCTTACCAGTATCTTGAGTCACATCACTCTCCTCGAACAGACTGTGGACACTCTTCACAAAGACACAAATAGGTTGCAGATAGATCTGAGGACAACGAACGAAAGACTCCAGCTCGCACAGGCAGATCTGAATATCACAAGACAGGAACTACAGACGGCTCGCACAGACCTGCAGGTAACAAAGGACCAGCTTCAACATACGCAGACCGATCTTCAAATTACCAAGAAAGACCTTCAGACCGCCCAGACAGACCTCATGACAAACAAGGGGCTTCAACAATCTGCAGCTGCTGAGATTTTGTCTCTCAAAAACGGCATGACCATACTGAGAACCGAACTCGGAATCGTGAAATCAAAAGTAGAAAACACCGATCCAGATTTTCATCCTCTGAGTTCAACCTCGAACGATTCCCTTCTCGTGTCCTTGAATGGGAGCGTTACAGCGAACCAGGATGTTATAAAGGCAATTGTTCTGGATGTGCAATCAGTTCACAGCGAACTCAACACCACGACACACACAATTTCAGATGTCCAGTCCGACATCAATAGCTTTAAGCGGAATATGTCTTCTGCGCTTAGAAATGTAACTGATGAGTGTACGGCGCTGAAATCTGATTCTCATTTATTCAGTTCCCTCCAGTCGGACATAACAGCAATGAATAACAAATTGTCCTTCTTAAACATAACCGTTCGTGAAGTTCAGTCAGAAGCACGACAAGTTGCAGCAAATACATCTTCTGTGATACAGCTCATTGCTCACAGGCAGCTGGTGGAGAACATGGACACCCAGTCACTGAAGACACTAGCACAAGATACGTCAGCCCAACTAAAACAGTTTGAGAAGAATGTGAACTCAACTGATGCGAGTATGACGGCTCAATTTAACCATTTGGAAAAGGATATGAATTCTACTTCCGTTTCTATCCAGCAGAACCTCCTCTCCCTCGAGTCTGACCTCAACACGACTCGGGAGGACATCACAGTGACGAACTCCGAGGTGCATGCGCTGAGCAAAAATATGTCTGATGTCAAGAAACTATCGGCAGAAACCAAACAGGCCCTGGCGCTGTTGGCCAAAACTCTGGGTAAGATCCAAACATCTATGTATTTGACGTTTAGTTTTTATGGTGAAAATTATTGGTCTGAACATGGAAATTGTAACTAAAACTATAAACCAGTCCAAAAGAAACGGTACCGCCTTATAGAAAAGCAAAACGATACCAAAATTTTAGATTGGTATATGTTTTTCAATAACACATGTACAAAAATTCATTTCAATCAAACCTTTACAATCATTATGCCAGGTGTGTAAAGACGTGAGGGGCCAAAATGAAAATTTCAAACACACATGACGATGCAAATGTCAGAACAGACGTCTCAAAGTCACATTAGTATCCACCATGTGCGATATGCCGCCTATGGTAAAACCCGAATGTTGGCATTGGCGAGGAAGTTCTGAGTCAGCCTTGCCGTATGTATCCTCGCATTATCGTGCTGGAAAATGATTCCACGAGGCTGTTGTTGGATGACTGGCTCCACAATTTGATGAATGCAATTCTGTGCTAAACGTTCACCAACTCTTCGGTACACACGTTGCCGACCATCGATCCAGAAGATGCAAAATCTGCTCTCATGGGAAGACATGACCTCGCTGTTGCCAACGTCGAACTCGCTTGGCCCACACCAGTCTGTTGGCTCGCTGTTGAGGTGTCAGGAACGCTCCGCGGTTGGGGCCAAGTGCTCGGATACCATGTGCCTGCAATCTCCTGTACACGGTTTGTCGACATATCACGTGCCCGAGTGCCGTCCTTGCCGTTAACGTCGCCGTGATGAAGCGGTTCCGGAGAGTACCCGGATGTGACGGTCTTCAATAGGCGTGGTCACCCGTGGTCTCCCGCTTCTCGGCCCGTCTCATGTCCAACCTGTTTGACGCAACCGCTGCATTAACCTGGTGACGGTTATGCGCATCCTAACCTTCGGTCGGTGTGCGTTGCTCCATGTTGGACAATTCCATCAACTCTCTCTCTAGATCGCTGTCAAACGTGGAATTTCTTTTGTGTACATTTTGTTGCTGTGATCCCAACGTGTCAAGTCAGCAATTTTAAACAGTTGAACTCCACGTGCATTTCGTGCTACGGGACGTAACATCATTTTGGCAAAGTGCGCGGGTTTTTTTTCTCAATTGATCAATGTTCCCGGATTTTTCGATCGAATACGTTTGGTTTAGAACATGAAAAACCCTCAAGTATGCATTCATATAAAAAGGAACACTTAATTAAATTATCGATGCAAGCAGCTATGTAGTGTTCGATGGTCCTTGTAGGCTTTACCCAACAAAGGTCATTTAATACTTCCTCAACTTGCCCTTTTCCTTCTTTGCAAGTTTTGCAATCAAACGATTATCCTTTCAGTAGTCAAATTTGGTTTGAGAAATACAGGAAATCTGTGAAAAGAAGCGACAAAACCCTTTTCACATCCATAAGTCTCTGAGTCGATTGTAAAATTCTGACAAGGCAATCCAGTGACTGAGATCATATGATATTTTTTCAGAGAAAATACCTGCACCTGGTTCTTAAAAAATAGTACAGGGTAATCTTGTATGGATAATGTCACTTCCAGTAAAAGGGAATGCTTCCTTCATTAACGTTAAAATGTAATTATCATCGTTCCAGCTTAGATACAAACGGTTGTGTACTCTAGTTTTGGTTAATGACACTTGTGGCTTTAGAAACAGTTGCGGACTTTATTAAAACTTGTAAGAAACGTATAATGGTTGTAGGTTCTGTTGCAACTGAATGAATGACATCACCTCAGGTTTTGACATATTTATGCTGCTTGTCAAAAGCTTTTCAACTGGAAGTACTGGAAGTTTAGATCAATTCACTACAAAGCATATTTTCTTAGATTTAAGAACATTATTTGGGAAAATGACTCTCAAAACAGAGGAAACCTTTGTTCAAACAGTCAGGAAAACATACAATTTCGTCGTTGAAAAAGGTGCAAGGTACACTGTGATTCATATTATTTGAATTCAGACGCAAGTCTATCTAAAACAACACTCTAAATGTTTCTGGTGATCTATTTTCAAGAATTCATACAAAAGTTACCAAAAACATTCTTCTATTTTACACCAGAACCTCGTCCATTGAAATGCAGCTAATGGGAGCATTTCAGCCATTTTCAGGATGCTAACTATGTCAAATATCAAACATCAGTGCTATGAATACCCAATCTTGGTTATCATGAGAAACAGGACCCATTTGGTGTATAGGGGCTTCCGTCAGCTAACTCAGTTACCTCTTAGGTCTTTTTCCGCCAAATAGCTAGAATATTGCTGAGTGCGGCGTAAAACTAAACTCACGCACTCACTCTTATGTATTTTTACAATCATATGTATCTAACTAACAAACGGTGATACGTTTTTAACATGCACCATGAACAAAAAATGATGATCAACATACGACGTAACTGCATAATGCGAACTTTCAGTGCGATGTGTACAGAACCGTACAGGATAAGAACTGCACTGAGCAAAATATAATTTTACTTAACCCTTAGTTGTTTTATGAGCTATGTTGTTGTAATTGGATTGTGCAATGGGCACTGATAGAATGCAAGCACGGGCCAATTTTCGTCAAAATAGAACGGCTAGTTGCAGAGTAAAGGTGTTTAAAACATAATTGCGAGCAACAAATCGTAAAAAAAACCACAACCAAGAACCCGTTTTTGACACGCGAGCTAATCTCTGAAATTGCCCGAGGTCGCGGGGCCATGTACCTTGGAAGTAGTCCCGGAGAAGAAATAGTTCGCACTTTAATAGGCCGTAGCTCCGTTGTTCTTAATTTTATAATCAAAACAGTTAGTGTTCAGGAATCACCAGAATATAGATATCACCTCAGATATCAGACAAACACATGGTTAATGTACATTTTCAGTTTTCAGTACTTTCCTGGTAAGTAAACTTTTAAAAAAATCGTGAAGAAGTCTTTGAATTTTTTTTAAGAGAACTAGCAATCGGCTTACACGAAGTAGCCCAGAAGTAGCACTCAATATGGCGGCCATGGAAGGCACTCGTCGGCCCTTTTTTGTGCTCAATGTGCAGAGTAGTTCCTGGAGACATGGAATGGAACGTTTGGAAGCTCTGGAGCTGATAGTTCGAGCTCAACACATTTTGGGAGACAAGTTCTCAGAAAAATGGTTAAAAACGCGGCCAAAAACTTCAATCCAATGTGGCTGCCAAACAGTGCATTTTAGCCGTCCAGACAAAAGTTTAGGGAATTCGATTGCGTATTTGCTAAAGAAATTTGAAAGTCATTGGATCAGTAGGTTCGGAGCTATTTGTTGCTGAAATTGATTTTTAAAAATTGATTTTGAACTATCTGTCCTTTGCTATTGGGCCTAGAGCTTTAAGATTATTGCGGAAACGATTTCTGCACTGTTGTCACCTTGGTCAATTTTAAGCGATTCTGAGCACTGGTTTAGGAGCTATGTTTGGTACAAACAAAACAGCGGAATAATAAATAATCATTAATAATAGGAACGATTTCAATAGGTCCCCTTGCCTTGTATCATGGAGCCCTGAATAGATTGAAAAATGTTTGGTATCGTTTCTTTTGGACATTAGTTTATATTTTGAGAAAAGATCAACTGAACATCTCGTCATGATTGTCAAATTAAAATTATTTAATGTTAGTGAAGTCTTTAAAACTCTAAAATCAGTTCAGTTCATATGAACCACATGGCTCCACAGATTAATACTAGTTTGTAAAACCTAAAAACTGAAAAAGTACACAAAAGTATCGCAACACCTCTGAACATTTCGGGGGCACCACTCATTGGTTTTAAACATTCACGTGCTACGATCAAATTTGAGAATCACGTGCAGTACGTGTACCCGCCATTTAGCCAAATATCAAGTTTCACCTCGATAACTCGGAAAATCAATTCATGTGGTTGTTCATACACAAATATGGGTCCTCACACCTTACAACTGACAAAAGAGGGCAAGTTATTGGTATGCGGAATGCTGCATGTCACTGTGGGATATTGCAGGATTCTGGATGTCATTTATCGACTATCGGCCGATTGGTGAGGGAACATCGCCAAACTGATGCCGTTCAGCAAACTAATGGCGGGCAGGTAGGGATGACAGAGAAAGAGAGAGAACCACACATGACTCCCAGCCATCTGTTATGCAATAACAGGCTAAGAGATCAACAGAAATCACTACCCGAGTCATGAAGTTAACACAACTTGTTGACAAACCAAATTGAAATATCGTTATCTATGACGACCTCGCTGTATAAACTTCGCCTGGCTGTACGAACTGGCCATGTACTTGAGGAGCAGCTGACCGGTCAAATCAGTCGACAGTAAGTTGTTTACAAAAAGAATGGATGGGAAACAGTATCTACCAGTTTCCGGTGGCAGCTCTGGATAGATAACGAAGTGATTAGGACAAACGGCAGAGAGAACCACAAGGAGATACAGAAGAACTCTCATGAAGACATCCCCGGAGCTCTCCAACTGATGTTCCTTGAAATTCGCTAGCAGACAGTCAAGACCTCATGAGATGCAGTTGAAAGCTGAAGACGACGACTACTCAGCATTGAAGCCACTGGGGTGATTTGACTGTTGAAAATAAACATTAATCCGATCCTTGCACTGGTGTATTGCGTGATACTTTGTTACGCCTACATCAAGAATGGAACACAATACCTCAACGTCAAATTCAACGTCTGATACAATAAGTGAGAAGGAGTGAGTGAGTGAGTGAGTGAGTGAGTTTAGTTTTACGCCGCACTCAGCAATAGTCCAGCTATATGGTGGCGGTCTGTAAATAATAGAGTCTGGACCAGACAATCCAGTGATCAACAGCATGAGCAATTGGGATACGATGCCATGTGTCAACCAAGTCAGCAAGCCTGACCACCCGATCCCGTTAGTTGCCTCTTACAAGAATGGGTTACTGAAGATCAATCTAACCCGGATCTTCACGAGAAGGAGGGTCAGGGATGTTATTGAAGTTGGCGGAGATTACACCAGATATTTACATAGTGCTCGGTTATTGATACTTATGTGATTT